ACACTCAAGCTATACTTTTTATATATTACCAAACTTCCAATTGGATTTATAATTAACGGCAAGTAGAAAGAGTGGTGATGCCCTACAAAGCGCAGTTACCAGCAGTAACCAATCACCCTCAACTGGTAAAGGACCACTACCTAGAAAAAAATTATGGATGCAGTTAAAACAAGCCAACTGCCTACCTAAGGAAATAAAATAGAGAGTACCCTACAATTCAAAAAGCTGAAGACTCAGCTTTCTGGAAGGCGGCATATTGAAACTTCACTTTCTGGTAGAATTTTGAGTGTCGCTGCCATACAATTCTTCTGGGTGTGTCACAGTGTCTCCCGCTGGCCGCTTGGTTCCTCCCAGTCAGCTGTGTCCTAAAGTGATGTAGGGGTCAGCAACAGTAACCACAGTGGTAAGGACAAGAATAATTTATTGTAATTCTTAAACATGTATGTATGATGAGGACAAAAATACAGTGCTCTAATCTTGATAAAGTTGGCCAGATTTCTCTGGTTCAGCCCTGCTACACATGCTACAGTGCCAACTATTGTATTCCAACAGCAGGATCCCCCAGCTGTCAGAATACCCCAACAGTGGATCCATACTGTTTGGCTGCACATTTTCTGCCCTGCTACTTCATCAAAGGACAACAAAGTTAAAGGAATCAGTCATTATCCAATTCCTCTTTGGCTAGCTTAACAGTTCTAAAAACAAGACATGGGTTCTTGGATGATTTTGACATGTTATGAGTCTGCTGGGGTTACTAAAACCTCATTCAAGATGGCGGCACCCAGCAGCAGCCTCAGGGCTTTTTGATGTCCATACAGGGGAGGCTTTTACATGTAACTAATATGCATAAAATATGTTGCATGCACATATAATCCTCTGGAAAAAATGTTGCTGAAATGAATGGTCTCATGACAGGGTCTCTTTAGTCAGTTGCTGCAACCAATTTAAACCATGTGAACACAAGGGGGTGTTAACAAAGTGTGGCATAGGCATAATGCCTGTGCCACTCTTCTAAGGTGAGAAAATGGAGTAGATCCTACCCTCAACTAACAAAAGTCCAAGCACAATATTCACATCGCACACGTTTCAGAAAGTGGCTGTAAAAGTAAGTGGGTTAAGAGCTGGGTATATACAGATACATGTAGGGTTTGCCATAATACCTGTAACACTCTACTAAGCTGAGAAAATGGAGTAGATCCTACCCTCAACTAACAAAAGTCCAAGCACGATATTCACATTGCACACGTTTGAGAAAGTGGCTGTAAAAGTAAGCGGGTTCTGCAGCGACCACTGGCTGGAAACCGAAGGCCTTCAAAGCGGGCTGTACAGTATGTCACCAGCACACTGAGGATCTCTAGAACAGGTCCAAGGCTTTATTCAGCGATCATGGTCACATGCCTGATGCAGGGGTCCTGCTAGGCTCTGAAACATTGTTTTTGTAACTATGACATGACTGCTGAATAAAGCTTTGAACCTCTTCTGGAGATCCTTGGTGTGCTGTTGGCATACTTTTAGTTTTCAAATAACAAAAGAGTGCAAGCCAAGGAGCGATCTGCTCTGTTTTCTATGCCATGTCTTCTTCAGACACAGCATAGAGAGCAAGAGAGCTGGAGCTGCTCTCTCTGGCTGACATCACCCCTACGGGGGAAAACAGTTTTTAACCTTGTAATTGCCAGGGTTAAAAGCTGGGTATATACATGTAGGGTTTGTCTGTGTAGTATGTACCCCACACAGACAGAGAGAGGCATGTGAGCTGTCTGCTAGGCCCATTCTGACAGGAAAAATATGGCCACTGCCCCAGTCTATAACTGGCCTTCACAGCAAGGGGTGCCATGACCAGGCTCTGTAGCTTACGCATGTATTTGCAAATGTGTGCTAACTAAACCCCTGTTTTTACCGCATACTGTTAGACAGGTTAATTCAGTTTGTTTGCAGGCTGGTTGGCAAGCTGAGCTTTTCTCTTTTTGTTTGCCATTCTGACAGGAATCTGTGTCACTTTCCTATTTTGAAAAAAGGATCAATCCCTTTGTTAATAAGGTGAGTTTATTCTGAAATTGACACTGGTAGAGTTGCACAGATCTGCTTTGTTAATGTGGCACAGGCCAATTCCCTGCACTGTTATAATGCAACAGCAAACTGATATTCCCCCATAGGTGACCATTGTAAGCAGCCCTATCAGTGTAATACATTATTTCAGCAAAGCTGCCATTTAAAAGCGGCCATAACAATGAGAGGTGATTGCTGGCTCTTAAAGCGTATGCCTCTTTTTCACGTTGGTCCTAAACCATTTCAATTTAAGAGATTCCTCAATAATGTTGTGACTCCATAAGCATTTTTCTGTGCCTGCCATTTCCATTCTACAATCCAACTTTGCCAGCAAAGTGTTGACAACACAATAGAAAATGCAGTGCTGTGGCAACACACGTCGAGGGTACTGCACTACACACACACACGGCACCACACACACTCGCATTAATCTTTGACACCCACTGGTTTAAAT